TTTATTGTTTTTGTAGAGTATTTGTTCTTTGAATTTCTTGCCTTGTTTTTGGGATCACCTTATTATGCAACATCTGCTCTGAATTTCAAATGTGGTAAACAGAGTATGAGTGTGGGTGGCAGATGGCTAATGACCAGCAGCGACAGGGCATTGAAGCCTGCCTTGTTTTCAGAGAAGTGATATTTTCATGTTAATTTGCTCTGTGTCCTGCAAAGATGAGACAAATCACCTGCTCATAATTCAGGCAAAGTGGGACCACCAGGAGCAGACAGGGGCCAGGGCTTGATTCCTTTAGGGGTGAGAAGAGAGGAGGGATCTAGGACTATCCTCATCAGTAGTCCAAGGGGCCAGCCAGTCACTTTGCATTATGTCAAATCAGGAAAGAGAAATCAGCTCTGGGCGTCCCATCTTGACATCAGAGCCACTGTTTACTGAAAGCAGACTTGATTCAGGAAAATAGATATTTCACAGAGGCAGAAAACAGGTGCAATGAAGAGTGTGTGTTTGTCTCTGGGCTTTGTAAAACAAATCTAATAGTACATTATATCTCTTGCTGAAAAAAAAAATAAGACAATCAGCAGAAATCTCTAAGAAATATTCAACTGAAGATAACATGAAATCTAATTCACAGGGGAAAATGAGCCATACAAATGCATAAATGGTGAGATTGTCTGGCTTTCTCTAGCTTTACAGCATTAAGTTATCATAGAGATAAAGAAATAAATATAATTTTTATCCCAAGATTGGGCCATCAAAAGAAGCCATATGGTCTTATGCAAAAAAAGACCATGTTCTATTGTAGAGAGGCTACTTGATTTCTGTGTAGCCTTTCAGTGCTTCAGATTTCTATTTTTAACATTATATTGCCAAGTTCATCAAACGGGTCAGGTATGCAGAATGTCCAAAAATTTACTAAGTCACTTTACAGAGTATAAGGACAGGTGAGAAACCTGATCAAGTAACAGCAAACATAATTTACTAATGTAGTCAACTCTAAAGTCCAAATGCTACATTCCCGGACAATGAAAGACACTACAATGTGAAGCACTAGAGAGTATTTTCCAAAGGAACCTCTGCCCATGTATGGGCATGTGTATATGCGCACAAATAATCAAAGAAGATGTGTACTACAGGCCTCTCTGTCCACTCTATGCTATTTCACTATAAGCATCATGGGGAGGCAGTGCTTATCTAACTCAGTTTTATATCCTCAAAATGCTAATCATAGAATCCTTTCTGGAAATCGAACAAATAGTAAATAACTGTTCAAATACATTCAGCAAAATCTTATTACAACAAAGCAATCTACACAAAGAAGCCCTTTCAGGGTTTCTAACAGACTGCTCATACTAAAATTTTCTAGTTATTGAGACGTTTTCCATCTAAATCACCAAACCAGAGGCTGTCATGTTGATTCTAACTCAGGATGGCCATGTGCTGTAGAGTAGGAAGAGAATTACAAACCACAGAGTTTTCAAGGCTGTGGAGTTTTCCAGATTACCAAGCCTTTGTATTGAAGTACTTCTGGTTGGGTTCCAACTGCCAACCTTTTGGTGAATGGTTGAATATTTAACCATTTGTGCCACTTAGGAACTGTGAGACTTTCCATAAATAAGCCTATGCAACAACAATTATCTCTGATTATGTGCTTGACAACCTCCATCAAAAAGTACTGAAACCTCTCTTAGCATATTTTACTTTTTTAATTTTTTTTTTCCTTTTTATGTATGTACCGTCAAATTGGATCTGACTGGTACAAAAGGTGATTGTTCCTCCTTCTTCAGCAGAGCATCTAGTGGATTTGAAGCGGGTATCTCTGGGATTGCAGTGCAGCTTCTTGCCACTAGGCCACCAGAGCTCACAGCACATTTTATTTTTGCGACACAATTTTCCAAATTAAGTCAACCACAGACACAAGAATTTATAAAAATAAACTGGTATCAAATATTCATTATTTTGTTTTAAAATGATATAGTTTATGGGTTTATTAAACTCTAAAATGATTCATGTTTTCAACAACCACCTTAAAGTATTACAAACTCTAAAATTAAAAAAAAAATGAACACATGTACACATGTCTAAACTCTGGTAACCAAAACCAAAAGGCGACATGTCTCCAGCTGCTTGAATCCACTAGCGGCTCCAAGGGAGAAGGATGCACAGACTTCGCCTTTAAAAAAATTTAGAATCTCAAAACCCTGATAGAGGGTTTCTATGAGTCAGAATAGACTCAAAGGCAATGAGTGAGTTTGAGTGGTATAATATGATACTTAATAAGGAAGAAAAATAGATCAATTTAACTCAGAATGTTTTGTGGTTGGTGTTTTGTTTTTTGGGGTTTTTTTTTGTATTTTAAAGAGGATTCTATCTTTTTGGCTAGCCTTTATAAGAGGTGACAAAAAAAAGTTTAACCATTAAGATACAAATTAATGGCCTGAAATATTTTGATTAACCATGCTTTTATCAATGTATCATCTACCACAAATCTTAGGTAGCAAAAATCCCTAACCCACCGACATCCCTGTTACACCAACAGAATCAGGAGAGAGTCTACACTGATGGCTAAAGAAATGGCAAAGCCTCTGGGAGAATCTCCTGTTCAAAACAGAAAGAAATGGCTCTCCTCTTTCCCTAGAGAGACAAACCCTCCTGCATCCCCAAACAATAACCACATAGCACATTTAACAAATTTATCTTGTTAAAAAGCTTCAGCTGGCACCCCAACATGAGCCCTGGCTCAGTCCCTCTCCCACAAGCCTCTCTTTACCTGACTTGGGTGTTCATCCTTCTGCTTTGCTCTCTTCCTATCAGGCTCACCTCTCCATTCCCACCTATTAAAATGCTACACTCCCTATCCCCTACTTCATTTCTACTCATGTCCACTCAAGCCTTGGTCTAGAGTACCATTCTACCTTGTCAAACCATTTTAACTACAAAACTACTTCTACAAAAATGTCCACTCACTGGAATTTAGTGTAAATTTAAAAAAAGATGTAGGTGACAACCTAAATATATGTTTACTCCAATTGTCCTCCCATTTAAAAGAAATGAACTCCCCCCCAAATAATTTTAAATTTAATCATGCATCAGAAAATGCCAAGGATTATTTTGATTGAGGTATACATTAGTGGTTTAAGATAACTTAAAAAAACATACAGTAACTGTATATCTGAATAAAGCTTGGCAATGTATCTTTTTTATGAAGAGAGATGGGCAATCTCCTCCAGTGCCATTTACAGCCCTGGAAACCCAACCAAAGGTGCACTCGCGGTTGGTTCCTATGCAACAGCAATGGGGAAGATGACCTCCTGGTGGGTTCCTACTCAACTGCAATGAGTTTGAGTTATTTCTTTTTTAAATATGTAAAAATCATTGGTCAAAGCACATCCCGGACATACAGATGAATAAGTATCTAAGACAGGTGTATAAATAATTACAGCACAGGACAGAAAACACAGAAAGGGGTATAAACAACAGTTTTATCATACTAACGAGATTACTTCCAGCTATAAAAGTAAATCAAATGATATCTAGGTGGGCCTGGAAAAATTTAAACAGATAGTTATGGGATGCTGGGCCAAAAGTGATGGCAATGAGAAGCACGTACAGGTAAGTGAGGAATCACAGGACACACTGGAGAGTGTTAATTAGCCAAATTTGATCAGAAAGCAGAATATAGTAAAGAGAATGTGTGAGATGCCTTATAGGCTGAGCATAGGGGTTTTAGACAGATACATAGAGAACTGAAGTCAAAGAATAGGAACACAGTGCCAGAAGAAAGAAAGAGGGGTCTTGAAACAGGAGCCCCCTAAAGGTAATCTGGAAGATTTACATTTCTCATAAACTCATTGCCATTCAGTAGAAACCAACTCATAGCTGACCTGTTGGGTTTCTGAAGCTGTAAATCACAAGGGATTCGAACTGCCAGAGGTTTAACAGTGCAACCCCTATGGACTATACCACTGGAAAGGGCCTTAAAAATGGGGGGGGGGGGAACAGACTAAGGAAACCAACAACAAATTCACAGCAAGTGCCTTGATTGTAATGCACCATGTCCTTGAAAAAAAGAGAGTCCATGGTAGTGTCTAGGTTAAGTTCTTAGCAGTTAAAATTCAATTGCTAATGCAAAGGGTGGTGTTTGGAACCAACCCAGTGGTTCATGGGAGAAAGATCTGCCAATATTTTGTTATCAAATGAATGGTACCCTAACAAGGACAATGTCCTGAAACTACTCAGAAAGAAATACTGGTGAGCACCATATACTTTTAGAAAAGTCAGACTGGAGAAAATCTATTTAAGGATAACATTGAGAAGAATGGGAATCTTAGAACACTTGTGTTCATGCAAAAACCTATACCTAGACAATGAGGGTATTGTGCATACAAAGCAAAGGAATACTATTGTTGCTGTTGTTATGTGATGTCGAGTTGCCTGCTACTCATAGTGACCCTGTGTATAACAGCTGAACCCTGTATTTTCCAGTATTTATTTCTGAGTAGTTCAGATCTGTTGTTCATAGCGTTGCTATGAGTTGTGCTCGATTCGAGAGCACTTAGCATTTATTACTAGTTAGTAGGAAATGGCTCATGGCTGACCCTCCCCTGGGCTTCCAAGGCGGTAAACGGCAAAGGAGAAGATGCCTCATCTTTGTCTCTTGGAAAGGTGGGGTCTTAGGATAAGCACAATTCTCTATGGACTATGTATCAAAGTTCCCTAAAGTCTAGGCTACTACATATTTATTATGGGTTTTAGGGAAAGATAATAAATAGGTACTTTTCATTAGTTTTTTTCATATACTAGAATGAAACTTTTTATTCATTTAGTCCTGAAATGAATGAACTAGCATATATTCCATTCTTTGAACACTCCCCTTTGTTGTTTATGTGTGTGTGTGTATAGAAGTAAAGTATCAATTTCTAGAAATTTTCATAAGAAAAGAACACCTTTACTCAATAGATTACCACAGTATGACAATTTGAGAAGAGGCATAAAGATGGTACCTTGATGGTTTCATTTGGTACTCCAGGCTCTGGAACTTTATCCAAATAAGTGGTCAAGTCTTGATCAACATGTTCAAACACTAATGTTAGTTTGGTTTCTCTGTCTGTCCGCGACACTGTGCATACATCAAACAATCTAGAAGACAAGAGGGGGAAAAGAGATTTAATTAAATGGAATAAGTAAAGTAACTTCTGTCTCGTATATATGTCCTTCAATTTTATCACATGAGACTAAAAATAAAAATCAGTGATGATGTATACATTAATGCCTTATGATTTCTGACACTTTATTAAGAATTTTCAGGAGAGGAGGACATAACATCCCTGGTTAAGTGGTGAGGATATCTCTACTAGCAAGCAGAAGCATTAAGACTGGAGCATGATGATGTTTGCTTGGAGAGTCTCCCTAACGAAGATCTTAGGTAGAATTTGTTCAGAGAGTTTAAAAATTGCTGGCTGGACAAAATGCACCTCTTCTTAAAGTGTACTTTGAGAAGTAGTACAAACAGATCATTAATTTGAGGTACTGAAGCCTGCAACAAAGACTTCTACGGACTTAAAGAGGTTTAAAACTATGTCTGTGAAAACAAGTATGATAAGAGTATAGAGAAATTTAGTTTATTTCATCCTTAATGTTATGTGCTGTCAAGTCATCAGAAATTCATAGCAACCCTGTGCACAATAAATCTGAACCCTGCTCTATCCTAGGCCAGTATCACTGACACATCTACTCTCATTAAACTAGTTACTGTTAATCCATCTCAGCCAGTTTTCTATCCTGCACAGTCTCTCCATCCTTCCAAACATGATGTCCTTTTCTAAGGACTAGTCCCCCCTGGCAACATGCCCAAAGTAAGATGGACCCTCAAAATCCTTGCCTCGATGGCTTCACCCTCTCCAGGATAGACTTGTTAGTTCTTCAGGCAGTCCATGGTATCTTCAACACTCTCTCTAGAGAGGGCATGAGTTTTTTACTAGTTTCAAAATTTCAAATAACAGGTTAATCAAAACTGGAATTTCAGCATTTCTGTCTGGAATTGAGCAGGACTTTAAATAATCAATCACATCATTTTTTGATAACAAAGACAGAAGAATTATAACGAAGCATGAAAGAGGAAATCCAATTTCTTCCATAAGGTCTTAAATATAATGAAAAAATTTATATTTTAAAAACAAAGCCTTCAGTAGTAAAAAATCTTTTCAAGTCAAAGAACAAATTTCTCTTCAGCTTCAGCCACAATACATTATTTGCCATGTGAGATACTCACCAAACATTTGGAGAATTAAATCAGTCATTTAGAAACAAACCGGAAGAAAATGTCTTGACAAGAATGCGATGTAAATAAATAAGAAAGGGTTAATATGTTATTTGTAGTATTTTCTTTCATCTTTTAGATTAGGATCACATTATATCTATAGATTGCTTTAGGCAGTATTGGCACTTTCATAATGTTAATTAAGTCTTCTAATCTAGGAACATGCAATGTTTTTCCACTTAAGTAGTTCTCTTTTGGTTTTTCTAAGCACTGTTTTATATTTTCCTTGTATAAATGTTTTACAGCTCTTGTTAGACTTATTCCTAGAGATGTTATCCTTTGAGGCCTTTAATTTTTTTTTAAACAGAATTAACACTCTCTTCAAAGAAACTAACTATAAAGTTGCAAGCAACCCAACTACTAAACTTAAGGTTGAGTCTCAATTATCCACTTGGTATATTAGCCATGTTAAAATTTTAATGTCTAGCAGTTTCACCATACCTCTCACTACATTTCTGGCTATTACATTTGGCACTCCTCTGGAAACCTAAACTTTATAATAAGATTGTGGACACTATAATTAAGATAAGCCTACCGCTGAGTTGAACAGCATAACATCAACCACCACATGTACTTCACAGCCAAATCCAAGTTACTCGTTAATTATGAACCATTTTGGAGTGAGTTCTCCATTAAAGTAAAATTAATTTTCCCCTTCCTTCCGAATACTCTTGATCTCTAAGTTTAAAATAGCCTAAAAATTTATTAAGAAGTACAACAAATCAGTTTAATCCTGTGCTACTGAGAAAAAAAAAGACTGGTATCATAAATAGATTTGATATTTGATTTATCAAAAAACCTTCTTTTAGTTTGGTGAGTTATGGTGCTAGAAAAGGGTCTTGAAAATACCATGGACAGCCAGAAGAACAAAGAGGTCTGTCTTGGAGAGTGTCAAAACAAGTTTCTCCTTGGAGGCAAGGAACTGGAAACTCTGTCTGACATACTTTAGGCATATGAGCAGGAAGAGCCAGTCTTTGGAGAAAGACATCAATCATCGTTGGAAGAGTGTAGGGACAGTGCAGGAGAGGAAGACCCTGGATGAGATGGATTGATACAGTAACTGGGGCAATGGGATTAGATGTGTGGGAGTCAGTGAGACTGGATCAGGACAGTGCAAGGTTCAGAGCCATTGTACACAGGGTCACTATGGGTCACAGACGACTAAAAGCACAGAACAATAACAATAGCAGATAATGGACTATTGTTCGTAGGTTCTTTAAGACGTCTTTAGATAAAATGAAAACACTTTGAAACTTTACTTTTTTCTTCCTTTTCTGCATTTACCACTAGTCAAGCTTCTACATATGTGTTGCTTCTATGTTTGTAACAAAATAAAATAGCAATGAGCTAAAAAGAAACTAAATCAAGCCACTCCGTCAAAATAATTCCTAGTGATGGTGACTCTCCACTGGGTTTCCGAGGCTGTAAATCTGGATGGGAACAGACGGCCTCATTTTTCTCCCACAGAGTGGTAGGTAGATTTGAACTGCCAACATTTTAGCTGGCAGTCCAATAAGCAGCACATGTGTTGGGCAAGAGTACAAATTACAAATGTCTTGGAGGAAGTGGAGCCAGAGGTGTTAAGATCCTTGGAAGCAAAGATAATAAATCTCACATACTTTAGACAAACTGCTAGGAGAGACTATTCCTTGGAGAGGGATATCATAATTGGAAAGATGGGGAATCAGCAAAAGAGGGGAAGACTTTCAATCGAACTGACACAGTGACTGCAACAATGGGCTCAAGTATGTCAGGGATCGGGAGTTTTACTATTAAAACATGAAATATAAAATAACACACATCAGTTATGGAAATAAAACATAATATATAATTTAACAATCATAGATATTATATAGAATTTTATGTTATATAAGAATTTATATATTTTTTGAAGGTAAAAAGTAAAGCTAGATTAGAAAGTTATATCCCAAAGGGCTGGACCTCCAATAAGGAGCACAGGCTAATAACCATCTCTTTTGATAATATATCTAGACATAATTTAAAAAGAATCAGAAGACACTGCTGACCTAAAAGGTCGCCTGCCCCTTAAAACCGTTATTTAGAAGTCACCAAACATCCCTGGCCAATTATGCTATGTTCCTTTATCTCACTGAAACCGTATTTGTAAATTTTTTCCCCTTTTACATGGACTGCTAGGAAAACAAACAGATTTGCCCTGGAAAGGGTTAAACTGGGTGGCTCCTTGGAGGCAAGGATTCTGAGGCTCCGTCTAACATACTTTGGACATGTTTTGAGGAGAGACCGGTCCTTGGAGAGGGACATCATGCTTGGGAGGGTGGAGGGACAGCGCGGGAGGGGAAGACCCTCTATGAGGTGGACTAATTCAGTAACTAGGATAATTGGGATGGGAGTGTCAGAGACAGTGTGATTGGCACAGGACAGAGCGGAGCTTAGGGCTGCTATACATGGGGTAGCTATGAGTCGCAGGCGACTCGACAGCACATAACAACAACAACAACATATTTTAACCTTCCCCCCCCCTTTATTTTATACTAGTTTATTTTTAAAGTTCAAATACATTGTTTTTTCACACTGGATCCTTCCCATTTCCTTTACCCCCAACCCTCCACCCATTAAATTGTGTGACCCTGTTAATTAAGCCCCCCACCCCTCTGCTTCCACTCTCCCCGCCTTGGATCCTCATACTCGTTCTCCAAGAATGGGCTTATACAGTATTTGTCTTTCTGGGACTGAGTTAGTTCACCCAGTATAACGCTCTCCAGTCCCTCCCAAGTTAGTTAGTAATTTACAAAATCATTGTGGTGAAACCATTTTCAAGCACTTTTTCTAAGATACAATTTAAAGAATAACATTTAACACATTTTCTTTTTCTCAAAGTTTATTACTCTCTTCAAAATAGAAGACTCACTAATACCACCTGTAGCAACTATACTCCTAGCAAGTTTTCAAAAAATGTTCCAGTTACATAATTATGAACTCAAAAACATCATTGCTAATTGCTCTAATGACTTACAGAGGAAGAACACTACTTTTAATGGCAATGTTTAAAAAGTGACATTTTAAAAGAATATGTGTGACAGTGCAAAGAACAGACAATTCTTGCATGAACCGTAGTGTATGTAATTATATGTTCTCCTGGATACACAAAAAGAATGGTGTTAGGTAGAAGTTGTTGTTATGTGCCATCAGGTAGCCTGTAACTCCCAGTAATGCTATGCACAACAGCTCTGAACTCTGCTCTATGTTGAGCCAATTTCACTGTCTCCAACACACAACTACTCCCAAGCACCCCTGTCACTGACTCAACCTATCACATTTGGGGTTTTCCTCTCTTGTGCTATTCCTCCATTATCCCAAGCATGATGTCCCTTTCCAAGGACTGGTCCCTCCTTGCAACATGCTCAAAGTATGTCAGACGGAGCCTCAAAATCTTTTGCCTCTAAGGAGCAGTCTGGTTTCATCCTCTTCAGGATGGACGTGTTTGTCTTCCTGGTAGTCCATGGTATATTGTACTCTTCTCTAGCACCAAAACTCAAAGGCATCAATTCTCCTTCTATCATCATTAGTCACTGTCTAGCTCTCTGATGCATAGCAAGTAATTGCAAAGACCATAGCCTGGATCAGGTGTGCCTTAGTCTCCAGACTGACATCATTGCTTCTCAGTACTCTGGAGAGGTCCCTGACAGCCAATTTTCCCAATGCAAGCTGTCTTTTGATTTCCTGGCTGCTGGTACTAAGAGTGTTGATTGTGGAGCCAAGCAAACTGAAACTGTTAACAAACTCAATCTCTATCATGATGTTGCCAATCAGCCCAGTGACAAGGATCTTTGTTTTCTTG